ACTAAGCAACTGATTAACCTTCCTTCTACCATTGTGTAACACATTCTTGATATGCACATCAGTACTAGTAAAATCAAAAGCACTAAAGTGCAAACCCTCGGCGAACTGCGCATGCGCGGTATCGCTAATAGATGGGCTGGGCTATTTGTAGCATATATGCGTTTACTCGTGGTCTCCCGCTAGTATATAGCTCGCGGAGAGTCGGACACGGGCTAGCTACAGTAGTAGATAGCATGCGGAAGTCGATACATGCCCTTCGTTGTGACTTCTTGTGCCTTCAAGATAAACAGAGGGAGTGGACCCGGTCGAGGTAAGCCTGCGCTAATTACCATATTGGCTTGTTCACTTGGTTTTCACGCCATAACTTTAGAACACAGTAGTTTTACGAAAATCGCCTTTTTAAAAATCAACCCAGTGTAGCACTGAACCCGATCATATCGCTATTTACCTGATTTCGTGCGCGCGGTGGCATAAAACGTGGTAACAGACAGACGGACAGACGGACAGACTGACACACTTACGGCCGTAACCCTCGCTGCGCATGCGCGCCGAGGGTTAATCAACACCCAAGTATGTGTATTTACTAACGAATAGTAACGAAATATTGTAAGACAAATGCCCGAAGAGAATAGGCATACTTTTTTTGTGTGCAAACCCTCGGCGAACTGCGCATGCGCGGTACCGCTAACTGATGGGAAGGGGGCTATAAGGTGTTTACTCGTTGTCTCCCGCTAGTAGCTCACAGAGTGTCTGACAGGGGTTAGCAACAGTGGTAGATAGCTTGCATGAGTCGATGACACGCCCTGTTACCCTCGGTGTGTGCATGCGCAGCGAGGGTTACAGTACTTGGTTCGTAAGTGTGTCTGCCTGTCTGTCTGTTAGCGCAAGCGCAAGAAATCGGTCAAAGAGAGATACTAACAGGTTCAGTGCTACACTGACTTTATTATGATTTTCATAAAACTACTGCGTTCGAAAGTTATGGCGTGAAAACCAAGTGAACAAGCCAATGTGCTAATTACCTCGACTGGGTCCGCTTGCTCTGTGTATCTTGAAGGCAGAAGAAGTCAAAACGAAGGGCATGTATCAACTCCCGCATGCTATCTACTACTGTAGCTAGCCCATGTCAGACTCTCGGCGAGCTGTACTAGCAGGAGGCCATGAGTAAACGCATATGTACTACTAATCCCAGCCCATAAACTAGCGGTACCATGCATGCGCAGTTCATTGAGGGTTTGCACTTTAGTGCTCTTCATTGACTTGGTTTTCACGCCATAACTCTCTACCATTTTAAAAATGAAGTCAGTGTAGTGCGCTGAACCCGTTGGTGTCACTTTTTTACCTGTTTGTTTCACGTGGTGGCAGAAAACGTGGTAACAGACGGACAGACCGACCAAGTACATTAACCCCGAAACTTAATAATATCAATAACAAACATCAAAATCACAACAATGCATGTTTGTAAATAATAACAAATAGCCTAAGGCAAGTCTATAAATTGACTTTTTCACTTCTCAAACTTTCTAATGGTACGACGCATAGAGATGAAACTACTAGGTTAGATCGTTTCCAAGACAACATGTTCCCATGATGACTACATATTGTTTGCCCCAACAACAAATAGCTTCAGGCACTTTCTACTCAAACTTGGTAACGGCATGCATGGAGATGAAAATTGGTATATACACAGTGCTGGTGAATAGAAAGTGTATGCGCTTACTGAGGATGTAATTAGAGGTGGGTCAATTCATTTAAGCGCATGCGCGAAGTGCAGTTCATCCCTTGTTTTTCAAGCTATAACTTTCGAACGCAGCATTTTACCAAAATCTTGATTTTTAAAATAAAGCAGTGTGGCACTGAACCCATTGGTATCGCTTATTGGCCGTCTTGTTGGGCATAGCGGCTGAAAACGTGGTAAGAGACAGACAGACGGAATGACAAACCAAGTGCTATAACCCTCGTGGCACATGCGTGCCAAGGGTTGAAAATACATGCTACTGAGTAACCAACACCAATATAGAGTCTAATAAATGTCCACAAAAAGAACTTTTCATCTATCCTAAGCACACCAGCAGCATGTCAAATTGAGTTCAAGAGGGGCCCACCAGGCAACAATATAGGGATTCTGTGATTGGGTCGGACATGTCACAGTGTGCTCAAATCCCTATCTTATCTCCCTTTCTTTGTATACAATCCCTATTATGCCTCTTTTTTAAATTCGCAGGATTTTTCGTTTACTTGCATTCTTAGCTAAAGGCCTTGATACCAAGTAAGTAGATAAGGTAAAGTAAAAATAGATACCTTAATACAATAACTGCAAGGGCTATGTAAGCCCAGCCTGAGTCTGGCAACAAAAAAAGACGACATCTGGCAGACCACCCACAAAAACGTCTAGTCTTTCTGGGGTGTACGTGCGCATGCGTATACGTGATACGGGTGCTTAGTCAGCAAAAGCTCTGATGTTGAAAGGAGGAGAAATGGCGCAATTGCTCTTGGTGCTGTCGATAGTGGCACTGGCGTGGAGAGGTATCTGACGTAGATACGGGGATGGGTATACTGGGTATGCAGGGCCCTTGACTCGATCCTTTCAACTTTTTGGGGAAGGGGATCAGATCAGAGAGAAACTGAAGGGGCGGTGAGAAAACCAGGCTTACCCAGACTTTCCCGGCTCCCCTACATCGTACATGATAGAGTACGTACGTAGTTTCATCTACCTCCGTGCGTACGTGTAGCCTTTGGCATGGAGAGGTAGAAACATGTTACCTGTGCACGGACTTTTGGGAGCAAGCGATCAGAGTGAGATTGATGGGGTGATGAGATATCCTGCATAATTAGTTCACACGTATGTCATTATTCCTACATGGTGCATGTAAGTGTGAAGATTTTACCAGATCGTGCTGAAACCTACGATTAGGGGATTTTCTTTCCTTTTGTTTTTTTATTGCAGTTTCCGACTCATGTCCCAATGGGTACAGGCCATTTTCCTGCACAGTGTGTATAACAATCGATGAAGATATGCTACCATTTTCTCAAACTGACTGTCCATTGCTTGGCATTGCTCTTGTAATGGATGATGTGTGGAATGAGTCACATGTACTGCAGAGATACTTGGAAGTGTTCAATAAGCAACAACTCTGGACTGGTTATGAACTCAGTACAGATAGGGAAGCTGTTATACCTAACACTACTCGGACACTTGGCTTGCCCATCATAGGGAACGAAGAATGCAACAACTGTTGTTTAGCTTGGCAGTTGCACCCCTATGGACTGGTTAGTGTTGACTGTGAAAAGGAATTGCCTGCCATCTGCACTATGTCTGTAACTGGTGAGTTTACAAGTTTGATAGAGTAGAAACATGTAAAACATTTTAAAGTGTAGTAGCATCCCTGTACCCATGTTCGGCAGTATTTATTTTGTTATTGCGGCAGTCTCAGCACCATTGAGACTTTGAGCCCTGTGTGCGAGCTGCCCTGGTGTATAGTATAGCTCAGTGGTAGAGCACACCGTCGAGTATTGTAGGTTGGACAGCTGGTGTAGTTGGACTGTTAACCCTCGGCACGCATGCACAGGGAGGGTTAGTGCAGTTGATCAGTCTGTGTGTCTGTCTGACTGTCTCTAACTGTTTTTGCAATCAAAGGCACACCCAGTTTTCTTGCCAAAGTGTTCAATGCTACACTGTAGCGAGGATTGTCTTCGACCTGTGTTGTATGGTGGTTAACGTACCGGCCCCGAACGCACGGGCATACGCAGTCGTGGGGCAACCGTATGATCTGGGAGCATGCGCTGTAATTACTTGGTTCACGTGGTTGGCAGTTGCTGCTATTGCTACTGCCAGACGGTCGCCAGTCTGGTTTATTCACTACTTTCTTCCTCTCTCTTTCGCTTTCCTTTGCTCACGATGTCAACGACGCTCCTACCGACTCGAGAGCCGATGTGGTCACAGCAGCGAGGGGGATGGATCTCGGGAGCCAACTCCGTTCTCCCCTTGAGCAGATGGTGGTCATCGATCGCCTGGTTGCCGCCTGTGTGGCCACTGCGTCTGACCCTCTAGTTGAGACCACGGCATCCCTTTCCAGCAGATCTTCCTCCAACAGGTAAGTAGTAGTCTTGCCTAGCTAGTAGACGGCAAGCAGCCAACCGTGGCTCACTCAACTTGGGTCTTGTCGACCCCGGCACTCTATAATGAGGCGTTTGCGGGACGCGTCAAGCTGGTCCCACGATGTCGGTATTGCCTGGCGGACACACACGCCTCCCAGGAATTCCCGCACTCCCCGGGGGAGATGGTTGGCGGCACCAAGGGCCACCCGACCCACCTTCTATCGTAGCCGCAGGGATCGTCTGGCAGCCCCGCCTCGTCGGTCGATATCTGCAGGCTGTTCATCTCGCCCGGGGGATCGCGGTGCCACTTCCCCCAGTGCCGCTAAGCACACCTGTGCTCGAGATGCAGGTGTCCTCACTCGTTGGCTGAGTGTGGCGAGAGGGCTTCCCAGCAGCAAGCGACAGGTCCATCAATGACCGCCGGAACTGTATGCTCTCTGGCGAAACTGGATATCAGGTCCGCTTACCGGCTGATTGCAGTCAACCCCTAGGATCGGCATCTGAGTGGAGGGGCGCCCAATATGCGGATGGGTCCCTCCCGTTTAGCCTGCGGTCCGCTCCCAACGTCGCTGATGCCTTGCAGTGGGTCATGCTCGACAGCGGCGTGTCGATGGTAGACCACTACCTTGATGGTTTCGTGACCATGGGCAACCACAGGTCGTCCAAGTGCTGCCGGAACCTTGATAGGACACTGGCAATCTGCGCGGACCTGGGCGTCCCCTTGTCCATGGACAAGCTCGAAGGGCCGGCATAGTGCCTGAGTTTCCTCGGCATTGAGCTCGACGCTAGGCGGGCGTCATGCGTCTCCTGGTAGACAAGCTATCTGCTGGTGAAATGGTCCCTACGGAAGTTGTGCCGCCGGCAGCAACTGGAGTCTTTGATTGGCACTCTGCAGCACGTCTGTAGGGTCGTATAACCAGAGAGAGCATTCCTCAGACGGGCGATAGACCTGCCGTCTCTCCTTCTGCTGCTACACCCCCTACCTGGACGTCGGAGCTGCGAGGAGTGCCTACTCTGGGCGGCAGCCACAGTTTGCTTCTTTCTTTTATCATGGCGGCGAAATAATGGTGCCGAGCACGTCAACGTTCGATGCGAGGGTCCACTGGCCTGGCAGGATGTTTCCATCAGTAAGGATAATCGGGCGCTGCACGTGTTTCTGAAGCGCTCGAAAACTACCAGTTCATGAGGAGAACAGAGGTGTTCCTCAGCTCGACGGGCGATGACCTCTGCCCTATCAGCGCCACCCAAGAGTATGTGGCCCGCCGAGGAACGTTGCCGGGAGAGTTCTTCCGGTCCGCGGAGGGCGTGCCCATCTTAAACCCCTAGTTTGTAAAACTGGTTCGCTCGGCGTTGACACGGGTGGGTTTTCCCTTTCAGCGACTTCTGTGGGCACAGCTTCCACATAGGTGCGTCGGCAGCTGCTTCCCAGGCCGAAATCCCTGATTTAGTTATCCAGGCTCTGGGTCGTTGGACAAGCCCCACCTTCCTGCTCTTGCACTTGGCTCAGTACTCACCCTCCATACCTCAAGGACCTGCCCGCAGATAAATGTAATTGTACCAGATGAATCTAATTAACCCTCGGCGCATATGCGCAGCGTGGGGGCAACTGTATGATCCGGAAGCATGCGCTGCAACTAGTTGGTCCACGTGGTTGGCAGTTGCTGCTATTGCTGCTACCAGACGGTCGCCAGCCATATTGCTCTGGCTTTTCTTTTTGTTCCTTTCCGGCCTTTCCATCCCATTATGGGGTGCGATCAGGACTAGGGTTGGGCAAAGTTGGAGTCTAGTTAAGTGGTAGCTCAACCTCCTAAGGGGAAGTTCCCAGCCACGCTCACTGTAGAACAGAAGCCCAGTCCTTTGGCCAACATCCCCAATGGGCTTCATCCTTCCATGCCAAGGGATGGAGGAAGGAAGATCGGTAGGGTGGAACTGGGTTACATATCCAACAGGAGGTAAGTGAATGTGCGTATTTCGCCATACCTTAGCTCCTCTGGGATGGAGTTTTGTGTCAGGACAGTGTCATTTGTTTAAGCCCCTTTTCCCCTACCCCTCCCTCTTCCCTTCTGGGTAGCTCATTTTTAACCTTTGGCGCCCATACCCGAGTGAGGGTTACAATGCTTAGTCTGTGTGCAGGTAAACAAAAAAACCGAAATGTATCATTGCACTGGCTCAGCTGAACCATATCCGTTTGCTCTGTGTTATGAGGCAGAAGAAGTCACAACGGAAGGTGTGTACCGACTCACGCATGCTATCTACTAGCTAGTGTGGCTACAAGCCTGTGCCAGACTTGAGCTGCTAGCGAGACACCACGAGTAAACACATACTCATAGCCCATCCCCATCAATTAGCAGTACTGTGCATGTGCAGCATTAGACACCTCTGATTCATCAATTAAGCCCAAGTGTAGGTTAAACACCTGGTGTACATCCATTGGAGATTTTGATTGCCAACGCACCACGTTATGTAATCTCACTTGCTGCTCTGAGTGACATGGGGGGGAGTTACTAGTGCGTAATCCACATTCCTGCAATTTTTAAAAGCCCCCAGTGCCTGCTATGTTGCTTAACCACCGAGAACCGAACTGAGTGGACAGGTTGACGATGGTTGTTAACTCTACTGTAGTAAATTCACATTTAGGGGTGCACCGGATGTTCGCTGGAAGGTATAACCACGTGTTGGACTGTGTAAGAAACTAAATATTTTTGGTCTCTGCGCTTGTGGGGGTTTTTCGTGTGTTTAGTAGCCACATGAACCAGGTAGCCTCATTCACAGGCTCTCCCTCCTCCTGTGTGCACAATTTTCATCGAGTGACCTTTGACCCCTATGCATAAAACTCTTCTTTTCCTTTGTAGCGTCCACTGAAGGAGAGGAGTAGCCTATTGGGTGGGCAAAAGTTAGGTGGTAGCAAGAGAAACCATGCACGCTGTATGGAGATAGTAAACGAACTCAATAATCTTCCTCTGCTGAACGGGGTCGTCGATCCAGTCAACCCCTAGGATGTACTCCGTGAACTTCACCGGGTCGGTAGATAAAAATGGAGCAATGACGCCTAGAGATTAGGCCGAGCTGTCGCGTGCTGATGAAAGGGCGGGGCACAGGGTGATGAAGTGTACCGGATCTTCGGTGGAGCCAGTTCCACAGAGTTTGCAGGAATAAGATCTGGCAAGGAGCATTCGTTTGGTGAGTCGCTTCCTTGCTCCATTGTCCGGTGATAATCTCTTCCATTGGTGGGAGACCATACTCTTGTACTAGGGACTGGAGGCGAGGGAAAATGCCACTAGAGGGAGGGGCAGAAGGTCTTATATAATAGTTAGACGCTGATTCGAGGTAACTACGCGCAGTAGAAAGCCGAGAGCCCCGGCATTGTGGCGCCCCGAGCGCAGCGAGGGCGCTACCCCCGGGGCACGAGGCTTTCTACCGGCGCGTGGTTACCGAGGAATCAGCGTCTAACTATTTTAGAGTGAGCGCTTCACGTTGAGCGCTCTGGCTTTCCTGTTCTATCGTATGGCGGAGCGCGTCTAACGATGACTCGATGGAGACAGGCTCAGAGCGCCAGAAAATGCAGTGCAAGAAGAGCGAAGCGGCAGAGACACGCGGTAGCGACTCCGCCTTCTTTTTCTGGTTGCGCGCAGGGGGGTCTGCGCGTGCGCGTGGACGACGCGTCAATGTAGATTCAGTTGTTGATCTTGTTGTTTACATGTACATTTTGTTATGTTTTCCTGTTTTATCTGTAGGTTTTGTAGTTTCTGTAGGTTTACTATTATAGTAAAACCCCATCGAGGTTTACTACGGGAAATAGTAAACCTCGGCTTTGCAATCTGATTGGTCAATTCGAACCTAGCTCACTCTAAATAGCCTTTGCGTTGTGATGGGGTGCAGGCTGCCAAACCTAGAACCTACTGCATTGCAGCTGAAGAAAGCACTCCTCCCAGCACTGCAGTGCTCAGATGTGCGAACAGCTGTCCAGAGCTCCGCATCTTTTTTCTCTTGGCATCACATGGTCTATTGTTACATGGAGATGATGATGGAGAGACTGTACGGAGAATCCCAAGGTGGTGCTGGCTGTCTTTCTCTGGGATATTCTCACCAGAAACAAACCACTGCCGTAGAGGGCGGTTCTTCGCACGAGTAGCTGGTGATTCCCCGATTACCACAATGGCAGACTTGTCAGCATTCAAGCATAGGTTGATACAATATCCAGCATGCTCTGCAAGTCAGTATTGGAGTGGCTAATCAGTGCTAGATCGTCAGCATACATAGGGGAGCCGCAAAATATGTTGCGTACATGAACACCATAGCCAGAGGAAGAGAGTTGAGAGAGTAGGTCATTGACAAGGATGCAGTACAGCAGAGGGGACAGAACAGCTCCTTGGCGCACCCCCTGCTGTACTGGGAAAGAACGGGAGGTGTTGGAGTTCCACAGAACAGATGAGGTGCAGTGATGGTACCAGTTGTGAACAATAATCCACAGATACTTGGGAAACTCGAACTGGAGTAGCTTTAGGAGCAGACCATTGTATCAAATGCCTTCTTCGCATCAAGGAATGCCACATAAGCTTTCTTCTTCTGATCACGTAACGACCGGATAGCTTCCTGAAGGACGAATGCAGTATGCTCATTCTAGGTTTAAAACCACCTTGTAGTGGGTGGATCAGTGGCGATTTAGTGGAGAGACGAGTCAAGATGAGTTTCTCAAATACTTTACTACTGACTGACAGAAGAGTTATGCCTCTGAAGTTGGAGGGGTTGGACAGATCAGAATTCCTCCGCTTGGGGATGGGGACGATGAGGCCTTGATGGAATATAGATGGGATGTGACCTGATATCAGGATGGCATTGAAAAGAATTTCTAGAGTGTTGGCAATTATGGGGTGTGAGAAAATCAGATGTTCATTACTGAGGTAATCAGGGCCAGCAGCCTTCCCTTTGGGGAGGGAGGATATCAGCGTTCCAACTTCTACTGCACAGATCAAGTCTGGTTCAACATCAGGGAGACTCTGGAATAATTGAAAGATCTCTAGGCGGCAGGCTAGGTCTTCAGCAGGTGGGATGGAAGATGCACCTAAGTTCTCAAAATACTGTGCCCAGCCCTCAAGGATTGTCGAGCCTTCGAATGTGGTTTCATTAACTGAGATGCGGTTGGTAGGTGGTTGGAGTGTTGATGGAGAGGTGTGACAGCGAATAGCTTGGAAGAAACGGTGGGGATCCAGTTCTTGGTCAAGAGAGTTGTAGAAATCCTCATCAGCAGGTTTCTTCTGGAGTCGTATCTGTTGTCTATAGTCCCTCTTTGCGGCTTTATAAGCTGCTCGGGCAGGGTGAGTGGGGTCGCGGGGCTTGCCAGCATTCATCCATAGGTGGTAAAGTTCCTTGCTCGATCTCTTGGCAGCTTTCAGTATGGGACGCCATCCAGGTTTCTTGAAGTGCTGGTAAACCTTAGGAGGTATATTCTTCGAGGTGGCGAGGAGTAGGTCAGTCAAATCAGATAGGTGTTTATCGATAAGACTATAGGTTGGAGAGGTAGTCTGGAGGGAGGGATTGTGAATGCTGAGCAGGGGTAGGTGGAGAGGTTGCGTGTAAAGAGAGTGTATGTCTTGTTTGGAGATACGGGACCAGCTTCTGGGAATGAATCCAGGCTTGCGGCGGACTTCTGGTTCTGAGAGTACTGGCAGTGAGCAGTAGAGCTGGATTGAAGCAACTAGAGGCAGATGGTCAGATGTATTGAGGGGGTGCTCCGGTAAGGTGCTGGCAGATTGAAATCTTGGAAGGAGAAGCTCTGGTGACACAATATGTGGTCGATTGTAGACACAGTGGAGTGGGCCTCACTCTCAAATATATGAGAAGAGGAGAGATTGGACTTATGAAGGTGTGCCGAGACGAAGTTCCAAAGGGATAGGTACTGTGACAGAATTCTCCCTTGTTCGTTGACACGTGTAGTAGAGAGTGGGCCACCATGACTCCCTGGGTCGGCATTGAGGTCACCAAGGATGATCGTGTAGGATATTGAGGGGAGAGTGGCCATGGTTGCATTCAAGAGGTCAAGAGCTTCTATAAATGCGTCGGTGCATCCAGATCGGCTTGGAAGATACACAGAGAATACATGAATTGGAGCTGGGGGGGATTTTGATTTCGATTCCTATGCTTTGGTGAGTTGACATAATGGGTGTAGGAGAGTCAAAGTGGTCGAGACTTGAGTGCCAGCCGAGGTGAGTAGGTGTGGGGTACAAAATACAGGGTGCTCACGGCGAGGGGGATATGCTGCGAGAAATTTGTATCTGGGGTGGACTTGTTGGATATTATTCAGATTGTAGTCATGGAGCCAGAGCTCAGAGATTGCGATGATATCTGGGGAGTGTTTGTTGATGGTGTGTTGAAGGTAATGCAGGTTTTACAATAAGCCACGGAGATTAAAGCAGCAGAATTTCAGATGATTGACTCTTGTAGCTGCAAGGGATGAGGGATCACACAGGCTTGGGGTGGGTGCTGTGGAGGTCGTGGGGATAGCTGTGCTGGTTGGTTGTGTGCAGTGGGAGGCATATTTTGGGGGGTTAGGGTGCAGGTGAAGATTGGCGCGTGTGTTGCTCCCTTCAGAAGCACTTAGTTGGGTTGAGGGGTGTCCTCCACTGACAGTTGAGGACTGTGGGCTAAAAAGGAGAGGTGAGCAGTGTCACTTGGGGTGGGTCAGTGGGGAATGGAGTAGGCTGCACCTGTTGCACGAGTTGTTGGGGTCCTGCAGTAGTGTAGAGTGAGGGGGAGGAGCAGTAATAGCATGGTATGATTGTGAAACAGCAGGGACCACAACCGGGTTGGGTCGTAGGGTACATCCAGTAACCGATCTGGTTTTTTTGTGTGGGGGTCAAAGGTCACTCGAATATTATGTGCGCGGAGGAGGGAGAGCCTGGGAACGAGGCTGTGAACCATTTGTCCTCCGTGGCCCCGGACAGTTGCTATGGGCATCCTCCCACTGCCCCGGACAGGTCCTCCGCGGCCCTCCGGAGCCCTTTGGGCGCCATAGGTGTCTCCTTAAATAAGCAGAAATTGATGTATAACATATTAGCGCCTAGTATTATAGCCATATATAAATTCATATGTACTTATGGAGGCTCTGTGCATATATATATGTAAATTGCGCCCAAAGGGTTAACATGTTTGCATGAAAATCAGGAGAGATGTTTACCGTGTGAGATGGGATGACTTTCACGATGCCTGGATGAGGAAAGCGTGTTAATTGCACTGTGAAGACCATCATTTTAATGTGTTAGCTATCCAAAAGAAGGCCATAAGAGCAAGTATTCGGGACGGCCAAGGCCATGCTACTGGCTACTGTGAGCGAACCATGAGTCGAATATGAGAAGAGAGCCAAGGATGGAGATATGGATGAAGAAGATTATTGTTCATGACTTCGAAGGAAATACGGCATGCTTTTCATTAATTCTACCACAGTTTCCGACGTTGGAATTGTTGCTTGCACTAGTTAAGGAAAGAGGTCTGTTTGCTGGTGAACGTGTTGCGCTGTGGAAAATCCAAGAAGCTTAGTTTTAAATACAAGCATGTAAATGGATAAGAAATTCGTGTACGAGCAGCCCCGTGTTGTTGTACTACGGCCTACAAAGGTTGATGAGGAACAGAAGAGAAGAAAGACCAGTCGTGTACCTGGATTAAACATGGGCTAATGGAAGAGACAATGTGAAGAAGATGTAGTTTGAAGATGATCCTGTTGGAGGGGTTCGTAAATTATCGGGGAAGGGAAACCGTTTGATCATCTTGATCATCTTGCATGCTTTGGAACGGATGGCAGATTTAAGTGACCGATGATTACCACGAGGAACTGACAGCTGCACACTTCGAAGAATGGTTTTACGACCATTTATTGCCTAATTTGTCATTGATTGTAATGGATAACGCACCTTACCAAAGTTGTACGGTGGAACTGGTGCCTACGATGAGCTCAACAAAGCAGCAGATGAAGGACTGAAGGCAATTGAGTTTCCAAACTGTGTTTTAAGAGAGAATTGCTGCAGTTAATTGTTGCGAACTGTCCCACACCGAAGTGTCCGTTCGACGAGATGGCGAAGGTGCATGAAGTCGTAACGCTACCTTCCTATCACTGTGAACTCAACCCTATAGAACTGGCATGCTCTCAAGTTAAGCATCAATATAAAGAAAATAACGAACCTTTTACTTTATCTGCCGTAAATGACTACTTGCAGGCTAAGTTGTTCCTTTACTCAGAGGATTGCCCTTCGGTGCTTTCGTCTTTGTAACTGGAGATGGGAATATCAAAAGTACTGTGGATGAAACAAGGAGCGACTCAGGTTTGTAGTTGATTATTGATTTTTACCCCTAAGAACACATATTATGCAAACAGAGTAGGATTACTGTACTTGGTCTATCTGTTACGGCAAAAAAACACCACTAATTTTTGGGCCAGGGTAATTTGACCCACATAAACAGCCAACCTCTGTGCTAAATCAATATCCTGAAACAACCAAGTTCCCCGGAGTGAAGAAAGGCCTGGCTACGAGTGTTCGAAATGGAAGAACATGGACTTCAAGCACAGTCACTATCTAGGAGATAGGGACACGAAGAGGGACCTTTCCTTGGCTCAGAAAAATGGTCACCATCATAGTATTTAAACTCTATGGCTCTGCAGAGATCTGCTCCTTGCATATCAGCCGCTGTAAGCTCCATAGACACACCAACCTAATCCTCGTTCAATAATTACGGTACAAAACTCACAACATTGCTACATACAAGGATACCTTGCCTTTGTGTTGTAGATTCAAACCCCTACCTTCTGAGTTGCCCTTGTACCTCACTTGGTTGAGTGCTCGCCTAGACTGCAGGGTATCGTGGGTTGGAATCCCACCCAGGGCAGCTATTCTAGAGCCAATGATTTTCCGTTTCAAAAAAAACATATTTTCCGTTTTACATTTTGACTAATTCCATTTCAGGACAGGTTTTATCATAAAATCCGTTTCAGAGAGTGACAAAACAAAAAAAAACGATGCTAAACATGTACAATAATGATACTTTCTCTAAAAGTGTCCTTCAATATCACTATTGTAGTAAAGCAGGAGCAATCGCTTTGTATTTTCTTCTGTTAAACTTTCACGGCGATCATTTAAGATGTATTTGTACTGAGAAAAGCTACGCTCAACATCAACAGATGCAACAGGCATCCATATTGCTTGCAAAGCAATGACAGCTAGATTAGAGAAGCGTGTTTTCACTCCTTGCCAGAACTCATTTACGTTAAATGGGTTTGGTAGCTCGTCACAATTATACTGGACATAAATTAGCCATTCCTCCAGCAAGTGTATGAGTAGGGTCTTGAAGAGATGGTATGGCAGAGTAGTCACCAATGTTGTGTGAAAGTACTGCTAGTTGTCGTGGATCAAATACCCTCACAGCTTTATAATAAGGGTAAGCAGGAAGGTTGTCTATGTGGGTCTCAAGTTTTTGTAGAGATTTGCTAAACACTGCTTGAAATGATTTTATCTGTGACCTCCTTGCTTTTTTATCTGCGAGTGTGCACATTTTCAAGTAGTCTAGCACAAACTCCCCTCTCAACTCATTGGATGTAAGCACTGTGCCTAGCGTCGCTTGCCGGCTGGTTGAAGCACCCACGGAAGTACTACTGGACTTACTTTGCTTTGCTTGCTTCCTAGCTGAGTGCTTTTTACTCTTTAGGTGGTCCTTCACTGTGTCAATACGAGTAAAGTCGACGCTGTGATCGCAATAACGGCAAAACAGTACTCCACCATCAGCATACAGAAGTCTTGAATTGCTTTGCTCGTTCCTCAGCTGTTACTCATGAAAGAGGGGTGCTTCTCCTGCTTTCTTAGGAGCTGGTGGTCCTGAAGTCTCCGCGGCCATTACACGTGTTCGCGGGATCGCGCGAAACGCGCACGCACTAACGAACGAGGTGGGCGTGGTCTCGGTGACGGACCACGCCCATCCCTCGTACTCCTAAATTCCGTTTCAAACCACTAATTCCGCAATATCCGTCCGTTTTCCACTATCACGGAAAACCATTGCCTCTACTCTTCTTTTCTCCTTAGAATAAAAGAACTGTCCTGGGTGTGGTTGAATTGCTTCTACCTCGTGGTTCACATGCATGTTTAACGGATGTGTACACGTTTGATTTCTTTTTAGATGGAGATATTTTAAACGGGGAATCTTCTGGTCTTGGACAATGTCAATATGGTGAGATTTAATGTAAACTCAGACACATTGTGCCATGGCAGTGAAAAAATCCTACCGGGTGACCAAGCTGGAGCTCAGCACAAGTTCGTTCTGGCCATTGAAGTTCATTCTCTGTGCACTGAAACATATTATGGTTGCTGGTTCGAATCCTACAGGTTGACAGTTTTTCTGTTGTCTTTCTATCCTGATAAGTATTTTACTCACACCTGGCTTTGCATGAGATCAGAAATGAGACATGAAGATATTAAGAGTTATATGTTTGTCCTACAAGTAAATATATAATTCTTAGAATTATATAATCGTGAATATAGGGATGGTATAAAAAGCTAGGAGACAATACAGGGATAACCTAGTGAACGTGACGCAGTAGTACAATTAATGCATGATGGCTACATACTTCGAAATGACATGCTTGCTCCCTCCACACAAGCCTTATATTGCCACAAAGTATGAGTGTATGATGCACAGCTATGCAATGTTGTAGCTATAAAAAAAATTACAGAGTGCTTCTACTATCGTCACCTAGGGGGTGGGGGTCTGGGTGCATGTTCCCCAAGGAAATATTTAGCATTTGGACTCTCAGAGATTGAATTTGGGTGGTCAATTACAAGCTACTTCCTTGAGCACAGCTGGCACTGGCGTTTCTGCTGTGCTGACCATGGTGGTTCAGTTGTGAAAACTTAGTACTTACATACATAGTAGTTACATAAACTATTAATACATTATTCGTGGCTTACAGCGGCAGGCTTTTGCAATAGAGGGGTGGAGTGTAACTATAGCTCGGTGCTGCACCACTCTTCCGCGCTTTAACGAGAACCCTGCTATGGTTTATTTCATAAGCTCATTAGTAGATAATGCCCTCTCCTCGGTTTTCAGTTGTGGCTGCATTGTGTGAAGTCTAAGGCATCTACATTTGCTCAACTAACCAGTTTTACAATGCTGCGTTGTGGGCCATTTACAGAATCCCTTCACCATTGTCCTTGCTCTATACACAATTTACTAAACGAACTCATGTCAGTGTAGGGCTTGTGTCGAAGTGTATGTAGCCATTTGTACTACTGGATCACGTTCACTAGGTCATCCCTGTCTTGTCTCCATGCTTTTATATATATTCAGCATTTTTTTATTTGACAACTTTTTTTTTTACTTCTCTCCTTTCGCATTCACATGCATGGTGTGCGACAGAGAAAGGGGCGCATAATGGCCATAACATAAGTGGCCTTAAGTTATTGCCTCAGACGTTTTGTTGTTATACTTCTTGTACATCGATGCACCAAGTTTCATTGTGAGAGGACCCACCTTAAGCAAGTTATAGGCCCTAACACCATTTAAAAGTGTTGTTTGAGTGAGGCTGTTTTTTGTTGTTTACAACCTTGTAATTTCTGTTCTTATCATGGTAAGTTAGAGGACCAATCACAAGTAATTGATAGGCACAAACACCAAGTTTTTTTGCCCGAGGCTGTTTGTTGTTGTTTACAAACTTGTAATTTCTGTTTTGATGAACACTTCATGGTAAATCAGTGTACCAGTTTCAATGGGAGATGAGCAACAAACAGAGTTTTTATTGCCTAAGGCTGTTTGTTGTTGTTTACCAACTTGAAATGTTTACATTTTGATACTATTGGTTGCACATGTGTACAAAGGTTTTTCTCTCTGAGTTTTAGCTTTACCTAGTTAGCACACTTTATTGGTCCCTATGGCCTGGGGCTATTGTTTGTTGTTATTTGGTTTTTACATGTAAACAAAATTGTTTACAAATAAATTAAAATTCTCTTGCGCGACCTGTCATGGATTCCAATCTCTGTGCAAAGTTTCATCTCCATAATCTTTCCTGGTTTTTGAGATGTGCTGAACAACAACAACAACAAGAACAATATTGAAAACTGACTTGAATATATCCATTACCGATTATGCGATTTAAGCCATTTCTTGGGTACATGCTTTTTATGACGATACAGAGCAGAATTATATCTCAGAAGTTGGATCTGATTGAAACTGAAAGTGGAATGTACAAATCTCAAGTGTATGGGCATAATGCGGGACAGCCTGTATCATCACTATATTAGAGCGTCGGTAGACGCTCTATATAGGGATGGCGCGGGTCAAATTTCGCGTTTTGTTTTATTGTTCATAAGTAAGTAACATCAAACAAAGATATAGGGATAGTGTCATGTAACTTTGTGTATCTTTGCTGTGTAACAATCCTTATTTCTTCCTTTAGCCATCCCTATATCCCCCTTCGAAATGATTTTTCCACTTGTACTGAGTACTACCGTGCTTAGAGATAAAAGTCAATGAGTATAATTACTGTTTTTACATGTCTACCTACTATACAGATACAGAACCTGGTGATGTAAAGCACCTTACTGCTTCTGCCGTCTCTCAGACTGAACTAACTGTTATGTGGTCTCCTGCAGAACCTCTAGGGACAAGTGATCCACTGTTATTGCGCTATGTCTTATACTTCAGTTCTCGGGATGTTATTGATGAAAAGAGTGAACAGATGCCTGTGATTCCACAACTACCTGATGGTAGTGTTGAGGTTCAACTGTCGGATTTAAGCAAAGGAACAAAATACACTATTGGTGTTGTTGCTATTTCTACTATAATGCCACCAGCAGAAAAGTACCCTACACTGAATACGGTTGTTTCCACCTATGGAGAAGGTTTGCTTTAAGGTGGCGGTTCACCCTTATAACCTGGAAGTATGCGACAATTCACTGCACATTTCCATGTTGTAAATATTATACCTATGCTAAGAAACAAGGTCTTTCTGAATATCTGCATATCTCTGGAGTAGATACTACAGCAAGAGCAAGAGCAGGTTTTTAATCAATGCGTATGTGTTTTAGCAACGCACTCTTACAGAAATGTTTACGCACGAAAAACGCATAATACGACAGAATTCACGACAGAAGCTGGCGTACGGACCACATTTGATGACGCACTGGGACTATAATACGTTGCCGCAATGCTCAGAGACTGTAGAATGCGTTCGCGTTAGTTTTACGTGGATATGACACCCCATACGCGAGATATTTTGTCCCCAAGCGTTACTGCACTGAAACGCGGATACGTCTATGAATGTAATTATCTGGCCACACTGTATGTATACTAGGTAATTGGTCAACCAATAGTTGTGGTCATGTATATAGTTTTGAGAGTACTTCCTGCGTTGCAAGCTTGAACCACCACCTTAGAACTGATGTGTGTCAGTACAATACCATGTGACGGCTTTGCAAGCAAGAACAGTCTACCTATAATAATTCTTCTCCCTTGAGTTTTTACCTCATAAAATCTTTTTCATGCAGCATAATATAAAGTAGTGATAGCAGAACCTTTGAGTAGGTTGTTGGGCATGGAGTGTGTGGGTCATCGGTATGCAATGGGTAACCTGCTTTCCTCGAACAGATGTGCTTGCTTTCATACATTGGAGACAACAGAAGTCACAATGAAGGGCTGTGTGATGCAAAATGCTACTATAATCTACTACTGTTGTTAGACTCTTAGTGAACTACTAAGAGACCATGAACAGCTCATTAATTGGCAGCTGTACTGAACTGCGCATGCATATGGATGTGACACGTTAGCGTCTATAGGGTTTTCACTGCACATGGTGTTTGTTACTCCACTTACATGGTCTTTGTAACTCCTATAGGCTCCAACTGCTAGGAACCTATGGTAGTTACGATTCCCACCTGTAGGAGTTACAGAGACCATTTAAGTGGAAAAAGCATTCAAATGTCAAACCCTTGTTGCACTATAGACACTCACGTGTCACATCCATATGGATGCACAGTTCAATACAGTTACCAATTGGTTGGCTGTTTAGGCTGTTTATTTACTCGTCTCTCGCTAGCTCTCTGAGAGTCTAAAGGCGGTTAGCTATACTTGTAGATGCATAAGACTTGACACCCATCCTCCATTGTAAATTCTGGTGTCTCCAATGTATGATAAGCAAGCTGATCTAGTCTAGGTGAGCAGATGCATACTGGCTTGTTATCTGTTGTCAACTGTCTTTTTGCCAGCTTATTGCATGTTGTTGTAGAAACCATGTTAACAGACAAACCAATGGATAGACAGAGAGTAACTACAAAGTTATGAACAAATTACCACAACTCTCGCAGTGTGCTAAGGGCTTTAGTTATGTATTTATCATTTCCTTTAGCACCAGCTGGTAGTGTCTTCGGCGTGAGACTACAACCATGGAAAGATGATGATAAAGCACTAATAGTATCGTGGGAGACTGCTCGGCTTTCCTCTCCTGAAGGTCCAGTCTCTTCCTATGAAGTCGAATATAGAGATGGCGAGCAGGGTTTGCCGAACAGAGTACGTGTCACCACCAGATGCACCTTACTTCATCATTTATGGAGTTGAAAATGACGAAAACTATGAGGTTAGTAGGTGTTGATCGGTACAGTTGATTTTTGCTGCCCATTATGTTATGATTATGACTGCAGTCTCATATGCATTACCGGCCTGGGACCACAATGTGCCATATGACTTAGCACTGAGTGGCACTGTGTCATTGTACTTAGAGGCCAGTTTTAGTTGAAAGAGTGTTATGATCCAAAGGGGATCGAAATGTTACACATTTTATTGTAGATCAATGTGTAGTTCATCATGTCTCCAGTGAGTG